GCAGCAATCTGATTTTTAGAGATGTAGAGGCCAAAATCTTGGAGTTTAATGCCACTTGTCTCTCATACATGTCAGCAGCATATCTGATGACTTCTCACCTCTTCTACACCTCCTGTTCTGGTCTGGTGCTTGGGGTTATGGAATAGCCTCTGCATTGATTTTTAGGCTTCTTTTCTTAGCCCCATATTAAGCAGGGTTGTCCAGAGAAACAGAAACAATATGATAGACAGATAAGTGCACAGGAGATTTATTTTAAGAAGCTGGCTTATGTGATTATGGAGGCTGAGAAGTCCCATGATCTGCCATCTCCAAGATGGAGACCCAGGTAAGTCAGTGATGTAGTTCCATTTTACAGACCTGAAAATCAGAGTCTAAAAACCTGAGAACCAGAAAAACCAGTAGTGGAAGTTCTAGTCAGAGAACCAGGCATGCTGATGGCGTAAGTTCCAGTCCAAGGATAGAAGAAACCTAACGTCCTACCTCAAGAAGTCAGGCAGAGAGAAAGAGAATTCTCCCTTCTACCACTTTTGATTCTATTCAAACCCTTGACAGATTAAATGATGCTCACTCACATTGGGGAGGACAATCTACTTTACCAGCTCCACAGATTCAAACGCTAATCTCCTCTGGAAACACTCACAGACACACGCAGAAATAATGTTCAGCCAAATGTTTGGGCACCTTGTGCTCTAGACAAGTTGACACATAAAATTAACCATCATACCCCCTAACGTCCAGCACCTAGAATTGGACCTGACCCAGAGAAACCACTCAGCAAATGCCCGTGAAATGAATGAGATAGGGCTCGCAAGTGTGGCTGGTCTTATTAAGGACACATTCTGATCTCTTGGGATTAGATAACTTGTCAGGATAACTTGAGTCATGCACAAGGGGTTGTGCTTTCAGGCTAGGGCCACGGTCCCTGAATTATGGTTCATGCACCAAGGGATGCCAGACACCCTTTTCCACTGTGTTTACCTTTGACCTGATAGTTCACATAGAGTGGTGGGTAAAACTGCTGATAACATGACACAAATGAGAGCACTGGCATCACACTGAACTATGAGGCATTGTGCCCAATGCCTAATTCACCATGTGCTCATATAAAAATCTTACTGGTTTCAGTTAAGAATGTTCTTGATGGCTGAGTGCGGTGGCTCATGCCTGTAATCCCAGCACTTTGAGAGCCTGAGGTGGGCAGATCACCTGAGGTCGGGAATTTGAGACTAGCTTTGCCAACATGGAGAAACCCCATCTCTACTAAAAATACAACATTAGCCGGGTATGGTGGCACATGCCTGTAATCCCAGCTACTTGGGTGGTTGAGGCAGGAGAATCGCTTGAACCCAGGAGGTGGAGGTTGTAGTGAGCTGAGATTGTACCATTGCACTCCAGCCTAGGCAAAAAGAGCAAAAAAATGTTCTCAATGTAAAAAATAACTATATTAAATCTGAACCCTTTAATCAATAACTTTAATATGTGGTGCTATGAAATGGTTAGTATGCATAAAACACATTTGCTGTATTCCGAAGTATAATGGCTCTTTCAAAGAAAAGCTCTTGTGAGACTGAACTGCAAGATGAACTAGTCACTTTCTTTAGGGAAAACCATTTTTTGTTTTGAATGACTATCTGTTCAGACTGCTGTAACAAGATACCATAAACTGGGCAGCTTATAAACAATGGAAATCTATTTCTTATGGTTCTGGAGGCAGGTGTGTGCAGATCAAGGGGCTGCAGATTGAGTGTCTGGGGAGGGCCCATTTGCTAGTTCATAGAACGATGCCTTCTTGCTGCATCCTTACATGGTGAAAGAGTACAAGGCAGCTCTCTGGGGCCTCTTTTATGAGGGCACAATTCCATTCATGAGGGCTTTTCTCTAATGATCTAATCACCTCCTGAAGGCCCCATCTGCGAATATTATCACATTGGTGATTGGGTGTCAACATTTGAATTTTGGAGGGATACAAACGTTCAGACCATAGCACTGACAAAGAAATTATGATTTTTAGATTTGAATATCTGGCAGACTTTTCTAGGAAATGAATAAAGTGAAGCTGTCATTTTAAGAAAAATAGCTGCCAGCATTTGTTGCCAATTATAAAATTTGAATTTTCAAGTGACAACTAGAATTTTGGAAAACTTGTGTTCACCACAGTAAGTTTGATAGCTTTCCAATACTTGATGACTTTTTTGATAAGATCAGTAGTATATTATTTACATACATATTGTGTGTGTGTACATATATATATGTGTATGCATATACAACATTCTGTATCAACATTTGGAAGATCTGTATAATTCAGCAAACCAATATTTGCCAAATGATCATGCTTTTATAATACTGTACATGGAAAAAGATTCATTCCAATTATACAATGGATCCATGGATTTTAACATGAGAGAGCATGAAAAGTTTGTTAATTTGGTTTCAGATTCTATATGGCAACTCAGCTTTAGGACACTACCACTTGTCAAGCTCTGGTGTGGTATCAAAAAAGAATATCCACAATGATCTAAAAAAGCTATTAAAACATCTGTCCCTTTCCAACTACCTGCTTGAGTGAAGATGGATTTTATGTACTTAAACTAAAGCAACATAATGCAACATATTGAATGTAGCAAGCAGATAGGAGAATCCAGCTGCCTTTCCTTAAGTATGACATAAAGCAGAAGTGCAAAAATATCAAGCAATGACACTTTTCTCACTAATTTGTTTTGGAAAACATAGATATTTCTTTAAATGGTTTTAATAAGGTATAATTAAAATATAGTAAACAACATATACTTAACATATACAATTTAATCAATTTTGACATGGGAATACATCTATGAAATCATCACCTCAATCAAGAATATGAACAGAGCTACCACCCCCAAAAGTGTCCTTGTGCCCCCTTTACATCCCTACCTCTCTCCCCTTCCTGACTCCCTGATTTCTAGGAAATTACTGATCTTCTGTCAGCCTATTTTAGTTTTCATTTTCTAGGACTTTATATAAATGGAATCACAGTCTATGTATACTTTTTGTGTGGCTTTTCTCGCAGCATAATCATTTTGAGATTTACCCATGGTTTTGCCTGTGTCAAAAGCCCTTATTGCTGGGTACTCCTCCATTGTGTGGCCATAGTATAATTTATTTCTCCATTCACCTGATAATGGACACTTGGGTTGTTTTCTGGTTTTGGCTATTATAAGCAAAGTGGCTATGAACATTGGTGTATAAATCTTTGTACAGGTATATTCTTTCCCTTTTCTTTGTAAATACCTAGGAGAGAAATGCCCGGGCCATATGCTAGGCATATGTTTAACATTTTAAGAAACTGTAAACAGTCTTCCAAAGTAGTACCATTTTACACTCCCACCAGCAATGTATGAAGGTTCAATTTCCTGCACATCGTCACAAACACTTGGCCATTCCAAGAGGTGTATATTGACATCTTTTTTTTTTTTCTTCATTTCATCCAGTCTGTTTATGAAGCACACACATAAAACAGTACACCTCCGAGCCTCCTCGGTGCACATTGATCTTGCTCTTCTCTGAACCTCTCCCTTGAGATAGTATTGATATCTTATTAACATCTAATTGAATTACTAATGTTCCATAAAAGAGCCACATATGAAAAGTGGCCCCCAAATGCAGGAGCCAAAGAATGTCGCAGACAAATCTAGTTTGTTGGTAAAGGTGATTTATCAGGGAGCTTACAGGCAGAAGCCTGGTCTTAGGTGGCTGCAAGACAGGTAGATCTCCACACCACAACCCTCCAGACCCAGCACTTCTATACTGGGGAGAAAGTCTATGAGCTCTGGAAATAATGCTGAACTGAAAGAATGCTGTGGGCCTCACAGCCTATGATCCATGCAACAATATCAAGAGTTGTTCTGGAGGAAAGGTGAACTCCAGTAACTAGGTGTTTCTGGGTAAGGAGTAATATGTCAACTAGACATCTTGGAGGCATTCCTGGACTTGGGGCTAGTCAGGAGTCACATGGTGGATTAGCACCTAAAATGGAATGACACTTGTCCCCATGACTAATAATGTTGAGCATATTTTCATGTGTTTCTTTGCCCTCTGTATATGTTTCGTTGAAGTGTTTGTTCAAATATTTTGTCCATTTTAAGTTGAGATTAAAAAAAATTGATACATAATATTTTACATATTTATGGAGTACATTTATATTTTGTTACATGCATGGAATGTGTAATGATCAAGTCACGTATTTGAGGTGTTCATCACTTTAAGTATTTATCATTTCTAGGTGTTGGGAATTCAAGTTCTTTCTTCTGGCTACTTTGAAATATACAATACACTGTTGTTAACTGTAGATACTCTACTCTGCTGTTGAACAACAGAACTTATACCTTTTATCTAACTATATATTGTACGTCTTACCTTACCTCTTTTCATTCCCCTTCCCATGCACCCAACCTTCCCAGCTCCTGGTGTTTATCATTCTGCTCTTCTATCTTTAGGAGATCAAGTTTTTAGCTTCCACATATGAGTGAGAACATGTGATATTTGTCTGTTGGTGTGTGGGTTATTTCACTGAACAGAATGACCTGTAGTTCCATCCATATTGCTGATAATAACATAATTTCATTCTTTTTTATGGTCAAATAGCATTGCATTGTATACATACACACATGTCACTTTCTTCATTGATTCATCAGTTGAAGGACATTTAGGATGATTCCATATCTTTGCTATTGTGAATAGTGCTGTGATAAACATGCGAGTGCAGGTATCCCTTTCACGCACTGTTTTCTTTTCCTTTGGGTAGATACCAAATAGTGAGATTGCTGAAACAAGTGGTAGTTCTATTTTTAGTTTTTTGAGAAATCTCCATACTGTTTTACATTGTGGTTGTACTAATTTACATTCCCACCAACATTGTTTGAGTTTCCTTTTCTCCAAATCCTCATCAGCCTCTGTTATATAATTTTTAGAACAATAGTTATTCTAACTGGAGTAATATGATATCTCATTGTGGTTGTTTTCTAGAAAATATAGAGTGCTTCATGAATTTGCATGTCATCCTTGTGCAGGGGCCATGCTAATCTCTGTGTCATTCTAATTTTAGTATATGTGCTGCTGAAGCAAGCACTCATTGTGGTTTTGATTTGTGTTTCCCTAATGACTAGTGATGCTGAACATTTTAAAAATATGCTGTGTGCCATTTGTATGTCTTCTTTTGAGAGTTGTCTATTCATGTCTTTTGTCCACTTTTTAACGCAATTTCTTTTCTTTTTTTTTTTTTTTTTTTGAGACGGAGTTTCGCTTTTGTTACCCAGGCTGGAGTGCAATGGCGCGATCTCGGCTCACCGCAATCTCCGCCTCCCGGGTTCAGGCAATTCTCCTGCCTCAGCCTCCTGAGTAGCTGGGATTACAGGCATGCACCACCATGCCCAGCTAATTTTTTGTATTTTCAGTAGAGACGGGGTTTCACCATGTTGACCAGGATGGTCTCGATCTCTTGACCTCGTGATCCACCCGCCTCGGCCTCCCACAGTGCTGGGATTACAGGCGTGAGCCACTGCGCCCGGCCTTGCAATTTCTTTTATTTTTAAATTGTTTGGGTTCCTTGTATATTCTGGATATTAGTCCCTTGTTGAATGAATAGTTTGCAAATATTTTCTCCCATTCAACAGATTGTCTCTTCCCTCTGTTGATTGTTTCCTTTGCTGTGCAGAAGCTTTTTAGTTTAATATTTTCTTTGTAATAGTTTGTTTTCACACTGCTGATAAAGACATACCCAAAACTAGAAAATTTACGAAAGAAAGAGGTTTAATATGGACTTACAGTTCCATGTGGCTGGGGAAGACTCACAATTGTGACAAAAGGCAAGGAGGAACAAGTAACATCTTATATAGATGGCAGCAGGCAAAGAAAAAGAAGCTTGTGCAGGGAAACTGTTCCTTTCTCCCTTCCTCCCTCCCTTCTTTCCTCCCTTTCTTCCTCCCTTTCCCTCTTTCTTCCTTTCTTTTTTCTTTTCTTTTCTTT